GGTCGGGTCCCAAATTGGAAGGAAAACTCGATTACAATTATTGACAAATTATGATGACCACAAATTTGAAAGCTCAAAATCTTTGGAGCTTTGTTGATCCTGGCCTACCAGAAGGAGCTGAAGCAGTCGCTATACGACGAGATCAATTGGCCTTGCGTCAGATTCACCAAGGTGTTGGTTACTCCATTTTTAGGCAATTAGCTCGTGCTCAAACAGCAAAGCAAGCTTGAGACATCTTAAAGGTGTCACACAGAGTTGATCGGGCACAGAAGTCTAAGTTGCAGTCGGTGAGAAGGTTGTATGATAATTGTGAGATGACATCTACAGAATCAGTAGATACGTGTTTCACTCGTCTTATTGATATGGTGAATAAGATGAGATTATATGGAGATACAATTGAAGATGGTGTAGTGATTGAAAAAGTTCTTCGAACTATGCCGATGAAGTATGACCATGTGGTGGCTTCAATAACAGAGTCACACAATACGAGCTCTTATCAATTGTAGAGCTAAAAGGTATGATAGAAAGTCATATTGAAAGGTGCGTCAAAATCAGAACCACTAGCAGAAGAAGCTTTGAAGAGCCAAGTCACCCTTAATATGACCGCACTAATCAAAGAGGTGGAAGATAAGAGGATGATCTAGTAGAAGAGGTCGTGATAACTCCAACCAAGGAAGAGGTAACGGTAATACCAAACAAGGTAAATTTCCATTTCATTGCTACAATTGTAGCAAGTATGTGCACAAGATTGCAGATTGTTGGTATAATGATGACAATAGTGGAAATCAAGCAAACATTGCTGAAAAGTCTGGTGAGAGTTCTGAAAAATTACTTTTGGCCAGTAATAGTTTTTCTATAGATAAGAGCATATGGTTCTTAGATACTGGGTGTAGTAACCATATGTGTGGGAAGAAAGAATTTTTTTTCTGAACTAGATGAATCAGTTCGGTCTAAAGTGACATTGGCAATAAGTCAAAAGTGTCAATTTTGGGAAAAGGTAAAATCTCTATTTAGTTGAAGGATGGTACTCACAATTTAATATCCGATGTGTTCTATGTTCCTGAACTACACAAAAATTTGTTGAGTATGAGACAATTGTAAAAAAAAAAAAAAAAAAAAAAAGATATAAGATAAATATTACTCAGGGGTGTTGTACCATTCCAGATGCTAAGGGAGTTTTGATTGCAAAGGTAAATATGTCCCAAAATCGACTATTTCCTTTGACAATCAATCATGCACTTCTTGCTTGCTTTAATTCAGAAATTTGTGATGATAATTGGTTATGACATATGCGGTTTGGGCATTTCCATTTCTCTGGATTAAACTATCTTGCGAGAAAGGAACTTGTTTCTGATTTACCTGTTGTGAATGTCCCTGATCGTATTTGCGAGATTTGTTTGAGTGGGAAGAAACATAGAGATCACTTCCGCGTGGGCAAGTCAAGGAGAGCCACAAAACAGTTGGAGATTGTTCATTCAGACCTGTGTTCGTTGGGGGTTTCCTCACATGGAGGTTGTAAGTACTTTGTTACTTTCATTGATGATTTCAGTAGGAAAACATGGGTTTACTTTCTGAAGCAAAAGTGTGATGCATGTGATGTTTTCAAACAATTTAAGACTTTTGTTGAAAAGCAGAGTGGTTATGAAATTAAAATCTTGAGAACTGATAGAGGTACAAAATATATTGCTTGTGATGATTTTTTGAAGGAGAAGGGTATTCAGCATTAGATGACAGCCAAATACACTCCACAACAAAACGGAATGGCTGAGAGGAAGAATATATATATATATATATATATATATATATATATATATATATATATATATGGTGAGGTGCATGTTGAAATCTAAAAATCTACCAAAGCCTTTTTGGGCAAAAGCTGTTGCTTGTGTTGTCTATGTGTTGAATAGGTGTCCAACTAAGAGTGTCCGAATAAAACACCTGAGGAAGGTTGGAGTGGAAAAGAAAATCCTCTATAAGAGATCTTAAGGTTTTTGGATGTTTAGCATATGAACATGTGCCAGATCAATTGAGAAAGAAGTTGGATGATAAAGGTGAGAAGTGTATATTCATTTGTTATAGTGACGCTTCAAAGGTTTCTAAACTATACAATCCTGAAACTAAAAATGTTGTTATAAGCCGTGATGTCACTTTTGATGAATATGGTGCCTGGGATTGGTCAGCTAAAGATGAAATGTCAGTTGTTATTCCTGTTGTTGAAAATATTGTTGATGAGCAACTGATTCCAGAAAATGTCCAGTATCCTTCACAACCAGAGTCATCAGTTCGACGATCTCAACGCGAGCACCACTTACATGAGGAGGCTGCTACAGAAACTCATTGGCTTGAGGCGTTGGATGAGGAGATACATGTCATTGAAAAGAATGGTACCTGGGAGTTAACAGATTTATCTCATGGAAAGAAGCCAATTGGAGTAAAGTGGGTTTACAGAACGAAATACAAGTCAAATGGAGAAATTGACCGTTTTAAGACACGGTTGGTAGCAAAGGGTTACAAGCAGAACCCATGTATTGCTTATTTTGAGGTTTTTGCTCCAGTAAGTAGACTTGATACAATTCGAATGATTATTTCTCTTGCTGCTCAAAATGATTGGAAATTGCATCAAATGGATGTCAAGTCTGATTTTTTGAATGGTTTTCTTAAAGAATAAATATATGTTGAACAACCTGCAAGGTCTGTGAAGAAAGGGGAGGAACATAAAGTTTACAGGTTGAGAAAAGCTCTATATGGCTTAAAGCAAGTGCCTAGGGCATGGTATGGTTGCATTGACTCATATTTTGTTGAAAGTGGCTTTATAAGATGTCCTCATGAACATACTTAATTCCTCAAATCCTGTGTGAATCTGCTGCAATTTTGACTGCTTGACAGATTTGCTTCCTTCATACAGATCATTGAGAATGTCACAGGCTTCTTTTGCTTGAGTATAACCAGTGAACCAGCGATCAAAGCAAATTGACCTTTATCAAGACTTCCTGTGATAGTATTCAAGGCCTTATTGTTGTTATCAATATCAGTAATATGAGCATGCGTCCATCTATCTGAGGGAAGTAATTCTATAGTCTTGTCTTCTTTCTCAACATACAGATGTTCCCATCCATTTTTCACAGCACGCCATACGTGGACACCTAGAGCATGTAAGTATACCTTCGTTCTTGCCTTCCAATAACCATAATTGGTCCCTACAAGTTGTGGTTGTCTTGCTTGTCCTTCCATCCCTACAAATTAACAAAAATAACTGTAGGAACGTGCATAGAACGACAGAATGTACGGACAGAGAGATTGAGTTACAGAGATCGATTGATCAAGAAGAGTTCTTAGAACCCGCTCTGATACCAAGTGAATTTATACATGAGGAAGTAACTCTATAAAACTCTAATTATCAATAATCGGGAAATAGGACGAGTAATCGAATTGACTGAAATACTATGTGGACTAGTTCAGATCGTAGTGCAGTGGGAAATTAACACATAGACGTAAAAGCATGATGTAAGCAATCAAACACATGAACATAGTAGATTTGTTAACCAAGATCGAAATAACCATTCCTACGTCTGGGGGGCACCACAAGATGGTTTACCAAACTCTTCATTCATAACTAATTTGAAAATGTTTACCAAACAAATAGCTATGAGCGAACACTTCAAACTTTTGGCTAATCCTTAGCCTGGTAGGTGCGTCGAAGATTCTTGAAGAGATGGTGCAACATTTCCCAATATTACAAGTTGAGACTCCACCTCAACTGCAACTCTCCCGAGTTCTCGATTGTGGCTTACGACCCAAGATCATCAATCATCAAAACCAACTTGATATGAATAAAATATTTATCAAGTTGCTCAGGTTAAGCTCCATTGAAATGCTCTTGAAAGTATTCTATATATGTTGAGTAAATTCTTGGAAATCATAAAAGAAAAAAGTCACGCTTGTAGGAGATGAGCATTTATAGTAGTCTTTTCGGATTTTGCTCTAACTGCACAACTGCTTTAGACTTCACGTAGAACTAGTCTTTGCGTCTGGTTCACCCTTGGTCTTCAGTTTTCGGACAACCCCTGAACTAAGACTTTTATTTAGTACAGACTCAATCTATTACAAAGTACATATATTTCTATGAACTAAATCATGAAGGACTGATTTATTCCATAAAACAAAAACAATTTGGAGGGGTGCCAATGTGATCAACCTTTTATTAACAAACTTATTGCTCCAAAATGCTAAAATTCAAAAAGCTGCCAAAGTAGCTTTTTCGTCCAGTGATGCGGATGCTCTAAAACAATCTTATCAGTTAGGATTTTTTATGAGTTATTTGTGAGCCCCAGCATCCACCTCATCCTCCATTATCTCATTCAATCACAAAAAACTCTTCTTCACATCAGCTTTAAGTTTTTTTTTTTTTTTTCCAGTTTTTTGTGGACCACCATTTAACCACTATATTTTAATTATTTCTTTTATCTATTTTAATTATTATGGACCCATCAGTTTTCTGACATTATTTGATTGTTTGTGGTGGGATTATTTTTGAAATAACTCACACACATCAACTATTAACTTGTGAATAAGATATTTACTATAGAAATAATTTGACATTCACCTCTAGTGTGGATGCTCAATAAGCGTATTTTCTTTTATCTTTGGGTCGATTCCATTTCCAATGGCAAGATTGTCTTTCTCATCGATAGGCTTAAAATGAAGGCGCCCAGCCGCCCACTCGCTCAGTATTACTGTTGGAATTAAAAGAAGCATTTTTTTAAAAAAAAAAAAAAAAAACGTTTTTCCCCTGTCCTTTTACTCTATCAACAAAACCATACAATTTTTTTAAAACATTTTAAAAACCTTTTTGTTTTCTTCTTCCCCTACCCATCATTCATTCAATCTTCTCTTCTGCTCACTTTTTCTCTCTACAATCACCTCTCCATCATCAACCCATCTCAGATTCTCTCTCTCTCTCTCTCTCTCTCTCTCTCTCTCTCTCTCTCTCTCTCTCTCTCTCTCTCTTTCTATCTATTGCTTTCTTCTTTCAATCCACGTACACCCAGAACAACAACAACAAAAAAAAAAGCATTTTCAATTTGATCTTGAAATTGGCATTCTTAGGGTTTATTCTGCAATTGCTCTTCGGAAATTAGGCTAATTCGAATTTTCACGGGAAGAGTTCAATTAGCCTTCGGGTTTTCATTTCGTAATTGTTATAGTTTCCCCCCTTTTTGTAATATATATAAATTATAGATATATATCTATATATTTGGATATACAGACACATATTGGTATCGATACGAACGAATATATAGGGCGCGGCTATCGTATATATTTGGATTTGTGTAAACATTTAGGAATATATACGAAGTTTGGGGTTCTGAGGTGCTTAGGAAACATGTTGGGGGCAGGACTACAGTTTAATAGGAGTAGGAACGGCGATGATCGGTTTTACTGTGCGGCGAAGGCTCGCCGGAGTCAGAGCCAGAGTCTGAGCAGTCGTCAGAATCATCAGAACCAAGATCATACCAGAGGAGCTAAGAGCGACTTCGCGGTAAGCCGTTCTGCCAAGTCCGATGTCCGAGCATCCGCAGATGAGCCGCTTAAGGAGAAGCCGGTCATTGTAGCCGAGCAAGTTCGCGAGGTGTCATCGGTGTCCAATTTCCAACAGTTTCTGCATTCGATTACTCCTTCAGTCACGGCGCAGCATCACCCTAAGGTTCATTAATTAACATTATTTTTTATGAATTATGATGGAGTTCGATTAAGTTTTTGGAGTCTCTGAAGACTTAGCTTTTACGGAGTATTTTATATATTTAAAGCGTGAAATTTAGTATTTGCATTTTACTGCAAATAACATCTGCTAACTTTGATTGAACAGAGTTGTTTAACTTCAATTTCAGTGGTTTTCTTTTTCCTTTTTATTTTTAATGTTAGTATTTTAGTTCTTGAAATGTGGTTTGATTGGTTTTTATCTGATAACAGACAGCAATGAGGAGTTGGAAGATTGATGGGGAATCTCAGCCATTTTTTGTGTTAGGTGATTTGTGGGAGGCCTTCAAAGAGTGGAGTGCATATGGTGCTGGAGTGCCTTTGATATTGAATGATACTGATTGTGTGATTCAGTATTATGTGCCCTACTTATCCGGTATCCAAATATATGCTGACCCTTCAAAGTCTTCAGAGAAATCAAGGTATATTGTTTTGCACTTTGTTCTCCTTTAAAAGTCTTGAATGTTTAAGCCTGCTGTTTTGTGGCTTTAGTTGATTCAGCCTATTTGGCAATTGGCATGCATTTCTTATGATTCATCCATACTGTCTAAGCCTGTTTCTGTGTTGTTCTTTTGCTATTTTCAATTACAATTAGTGTAGAGAGCTTAACATATAGCTTTCCTGTGCTTTGGTTGAAAGAAATCTTACTTCCTATCTACTTTATTATTCTGTTTATTCTTGCTACGGAATTGCTGAAGTGAATGTGTGGTATCATGGCATAAAAGTGTAAATATTGAAATTTATAATGTGTCATAATATCTCAGTCCTCTAGTTTCTAATGATCTTAGTTTTAAAGAAACATAAATAAAGCATGTTACATTAAACGGTATAAAGAACTGAAAGCTTTTGATGATGTGGTGGAAGAATGTGGCTAGAGTTATACATCTTATTATGTTTGCAGGATAATGCTAAATCATAAGAGATATTAAGGTGATATGGCTTGGCAAAATTAGTGCTAAAAGATAAATTCTATCATAAGTTGATTACCAGAATGTTAACACACTGCAGACACAGGTGGATGCCTTAGGGGTATTAAGTACACTATAAAGTGTCAATTGTTTCCCCTGAATGCACTTGCAGTTATGGCATTTCTAGATTTCTGTGCCATCTTGTAAAAATTTTTCATTTAATTCATAGTTCTCATGTTTTAGTTTATCTGCCATGCTATGTGGAACAATCATCTTACAACATGTAATTTTTTGGAGAATATTATTTTTCTATGTATCTTTGTAACACCCTCTAAATAACTTGGCCTGCTATTCTGAATCAAATGCTGTACTGTTAACTTTTAGTTTCAATTGGATGTAAAAATTCAGAAATCTGAACCATATCACTAGTAAATATATGAATCAAAAGTTCCTTTTGTAGTGATGAATGATGCCCATTAAGGACTATCTTTGACTGTTTCTAGTGTTTTGGAGATTTTCAGGACATTTCTTATATTTTTGGCTTTAGAGATTGTGCGTTCATAGTTTCATTCCTTTCAATATATTCTCAGATGCCCTTCCACCCTCTTTTCCTTTGTTTCATATATCAAAGCAATAGTATTCCCTTGAGGAGGATTCCACCCTTCTGTTACATATAATAAAGCTCACACATCTTTTTTAAAATCAAGAATTATATTATTGAAATTAAAGAGATTCCCCAATAGGTTGATAAACTCACAGCTAACTTTTGGTTATTATCTCTGTACATGGGCATCAATTCAACTTTTGCATGTACCAATATCCAAATTTCCACTGTTGTTATATGTGGGTTGTGCATCTATATATGTAATTATGTATAGAATATGTAAACTATTGGTGCTATCAAATTATTGAAGACTTTGATCTTTTCCACATTTAAAGGGCCTTGGGCAATTTAGGCAATATTTATTATTCTTTTTTTTTTTTGGTTTTGCTGGGCTAATGGTATCATGGTGACTGAAATATTTTGGTGAAGCATTTTATATAACATGATCTTTATGGAAATAGAGATTTTCTATTTGATTATTTAACTGTTACAACAGAAGCATTGCATGCAGTTATTGAACATCATTTCTTTGCATGAGAAGTTTAAAAGTCGAAGGTTCATCCTATCTTTTAGATATTGCTTTCTTGCTCCTTTTTTTTTTGTTACTCATCTGTGCTAGATGTATATTTATATTCATGTAAATATTGTTTAGATTCTTGTATAGCCTTAATGTGACTTTGCTTAAATTACTTTACCTGACTCTTAGGAGTAGATATAATATATACACATACACACACACACACACACATATATGTTCTATTTATTTTATGTGCAACTATGGTTAGTTTGAAATAATTGGCTAAGAAAAGTAAATTATTTGGCATCCCTCAAACTTTGCACTAGTATGTAACTATGTATGTAGATATATTTGTATAGAACCAACCATATTTCCATATTTGTTCCAGAATTTTGTTGTATAATTTCATTAATTTGATGTAGGTTTCAGCTTATTGAACAATGTTTCTATGATTGAATGTTAGGTAGAGCTGAGTGACTAGCATTTTTCCATTATTTTTTACCTTTGAATGTCATAAAGAACTAGGATATTCATGCTTTATAATCTTTAATCAGAGGCCTTTAAGAATTTGCGACATTTAATTCTGAGGGAACCATGTTTGCATATATATAAAATGTTTCTGTTAGTCTTTTACTTGAGTGTGTATTTTATTTGTTATCGAATGTAGGTATGGGCTGCTTGATGGGTTCCATTAATGATTTTAGTATGTTCCTACAGGAAACTTGAAATAGTTTTAAGTTCATATATGGTTGGTTCTTCTGCAATAACTTAATCATGGTTGTGTTCTATGCTTCGTCTCTGGTTTTATTTGTCATGCATTAGTGAGTTACAACTCAATTTTTTATGAGTGTACTAGCTATTGTAATGCTTGACTCAATCATGCCAAATTATATTCACACTCATTGCTTTTGGACTTTATTTTACATTCTAAAAACACTCTTTAGGATCTAGATACTTCAGTTTTCTGCTCTACTCCATTTCCTTTGCTATTGTTCTTAATTCTTCCTTAGTTGACACCTTTCTGTTCATGTAAGAGTGTTTGAATGTGTTTGTTCTTGTTTAAAATTGACCCTTAATTATGTTATTTATTCATCATAATCTTGTAAATCTGCTGCTTTAACTTCTTTTTAAATATTATGTGATAGGCGGCCGGGAGAGGATAGTGATGGTGACTCTTTTAGGGATTCTAGTAGTGATGGAAGCAGTGATTCTGAACAGGATAGAGGTTGCTTGAATTATTCAAGGGAGCAGCAGAATCATTATTGCCCAACACATGAAAATTCTTTTAGGATTAGTAGGCTGACATTGAGAGATGAGAATACTGCATTGCAAGAAGGTTTCTCCAGTGATGAAGGTGAATCTGCATGTTCTCAAAGATACTTGCGATTTGAGTATTTTGAGAGGAGTCCACCTCATGGCCGGGAACCTTTGGCAGACAAGGTTGGTATTTTAGTACTTAATAAAATATTTTCATTTAATTAGCTGCAGAAGCTATGAACTTTTTATTTTTATTTTTATTTTTTTTTCTGGTTTTCAACTTTGCAGATATCTAACTTGGCTGTTCGCTTTCCTGAGTTGAAAACGCTTAGAAGTTGTGACCTACTTCCATCCAGTTGGATTTCTGTGGCCTGGTACTGTTATTATCCTTCTGAATTGTGATTGAATTGAGTGCAGACATCTTTTTTTTTTTTGGAATAATGCTCACATCATTCTAAATGGTCATTGCAATGTTAAATTTTGTAGGTATCCAATTTATCGGATACCAATGGGCCCTACCCTGAAACCTCTGGATGCCTGTTTTCTTTCTTATCATCGTCTTCATACACCTCTGACAGGTACATTTGTATTCTGTTCGTCTATAATTTCTAACATTTACAAATTTGGTAAAATATTATTTGATTTGCTGGTACATCTTCATCACTAAGACAGGTACCTTTGTAGGGCTGTTAACAAACCGAACATAAACGAACGGAGGTTGTTCGTATTCGTTTATTAAGGAATTTGGAGTGTTCGTGTTCGTGTTCGTTTGTTAAGATTTTTGAAAATTATGTTCGTGTTCGTTTGTTAAGCGTTCGTTAACGTTCGCGAACTCGTTCACGAACATGTTCGTTAATGTTAACAACATGTTTGCGAACGTGTTTGTTAACGTTCGTGAACACGTTCGCAAACGTGTTAGTTAACGTTCACAAACATGTTCATTAACAAGCACGTTCATGAACATATTTATTTACGTTCATGAACGCTTAATAAACAAACACTTCCACATGTTCATGATCACAATTCGTTCGTGAACAATAAATAATCTACGTTCACGAACAATAATCAAACAAACAACACAACTACATAACTAATATAATATAATATAATATAATATAATTTATATGTTTGTGAACATGTTCGCGAACATTATTAGACGAACACAAACGAGCTTGTTCACGAATATTATTAAACGAACATAAACGAGCTTGTTCATGAACATTAGGAAACGAACACAAACGAGCTTGTTCACGATTTCTTAGCAAACGAGCTTACAACTGTTCAAGCTCTGTTCGTTTATTAACCGAGCTCTAAATTTTGTTTGTTAATGTTCGTTTACCTTAACAAATGAACATAAACGAACGCTTACCGAACACGAACACGAGTAGTTTGCCGAAAGCTCTGTTCGCTACGGGATGTTTGCTCATCTTAACTGTGTTACAGACATGATTGTCTCTTTCTTTGCTTCATCAATGTGTATCACAGTTCTGAAATGATGCATATGACACCTTTTTATACCGCTTTCTATACTTGTGTAGCAGGCCAAGGTGCACGTGCTACAGCTGTCACATGTCCAAGCGAGATGGATGGTGTCCCCAATATTCTCTTACCTGTTTTCGGCCTTGCTTCATACAAGTTTAAAGCATCACAATGGGCCCCTGACGGTGGATGTGAATATCAGTTAAACAACCTTTCGCAAGCTGCTGGGGATTGGCTGACAGAGCGCCAGGTCAATCACCCTGATTTTAGCTTCTTCTGTCGAAATTGGAACTAAGTTGGTCACTTGTTTCAAAATTCCCACCATTCCATAGAAACCCGATATGAATACTATTTGCTTGATGCGTCATTTGAACTATTTTGGAAAGTTGGGGTGTTACATGTGATGGTTTTACATCATATTAATATGAAAAAAAAAGTAAAAAATGAAAAAAAAAAATGAAGAAAAGAAAAAAGCAAAAACAGGAGAAGGCAAATTCAAGGTGATGGGGGAGAAGAATTGGAATCGCGCTATTGGATGCTCGAATGGAAACTATCTACCATGAAGATGAAAAGACGAGCAGAAGTTTGAGGGGGCGGAGCTTGAGCTTGCCGGTTGTCACGCCATAGCAGTTTAACAGACAAGGAGGCTAGTAATTTTTTTTCCTGCCTTGATCAGATCTAGGAAAAGTGTATCTTATTATCGTAACTTTGAGGGGGATTTTGATAGGGTTTTTTATAAAGTGAAGTTCAGTTTCCCCTTCCCTTGTGTACATTGAGACTGTTTTATATAGCATAAAAGTAGTAGTAAGTTAGAGTACTTAGTTTGGTACAGCAGTGTTTCCATTTTCTTCTTTCTTTTTGGTAATTTGATTTCTTTAGTCATCCAATTACTGGGAATAGCATAATTTTTTGAAAATTAACATTGAGTAGAGTTAATTTCAGTTTTTATCATTTCCGGATAGTGAGTAGTGACACCTCTTGATATAAATTATAATTATAATTTGTCTTTTATTTTTTAGACTTATTTCACATTTTCACATCAATCCAAAATAGTTCAAAGTGCTTACCATGTGAATAATATAATCTATCAAAATTTAGTTTTATATATAATGTTTACAGTATCTTTTGATTTGTGTAAGAGATAAAAGTTAATGTTATTTCAATTCTTATAATTAAAGAGTTCACAAAGTTAAAAGGTGTTAATTGATATATTTTTAAATTAAGAATGTACCATGTGCCTGGTTGGATAAAGTGAGTTATTTTGTAAGGTTATACAATATCATGTTTTCCATCATAAGTACCCAGAAGAAACAAGGAGCTTGGCACCCGGTTGTTCTCTTATGTGGGAGGTGAATGGTTCAAGCCTCAGTGGAAGCTATTATGGTGTCATTATGTAATAGGTTGTATAATGTGGGTATCTCCTTCCAAAAAAAAAAAAAAAAAAAAAAAAAACAAACACGAGCCTTGTCAATTTTCAATTGCAAACAATTTATTTATTTTTTCTTTTCATAAAGGTATATAAGTTTTTCAATTTTTATAATTTTTTTATTGTTGTGAATAAATATATGTGGATATTACTATAGGTTCTTTTATAGTATTGTAGTTATACTATAATTCTATATTGCAGTATTGTAGTTATAATAGAACTTATATCTTCTATATATTATACAGAAAGATGATTAATAAAGGATTGATGACTATGATCTCTGTATCTTGTTTTTCTATTTACCTTATTCTGTCTATTACTTTACTGCAATCAGAAGAAACACCCAATTACAAAACAGCGTTACAAGTGGTCTATACCATCGGTGAATGATGATATTGATTAATGGTTTGTTGAGAGCGAAAACAGAGGCGTATGCAAGTCTGGAATGAATAGCAATTCTGAATTGGGAAAGAATCGGATAAAGAGAACTGAATTCAATGCATTCCTTTTCAGAGAGCGATGAAATTAATGCGTCTGTTTTCAGAATCCATCCTTTGGTTACATACGTGGCTGCCTTAGTCCATAGATGGTTTGGGTGAACATGCATATTTTTAATAGGATCCCTTGGTGATTCAGCTCGTTATCTTCGGTGAACGGTACATTTTTCATATTCTTTTTTAATTTATGGATTAATAAAATATGCCTTGACATGTCATGTTATGTGTGTGTATCATACATGCTACTCTATGTTTATAATATATGCGCATGACTCAAATGAGTTTGGTTTTCTAAGTGTTGTATCATGTGTTTTTTTTTTTTTATTCCCCTGAATATCTTGCTCTATATTGCTTGCGAAGCCATTGAAGATGTTGCTTCTTCTAATTGTACTTGCAAAGTTGAGTATAGATAGACATTTCCTTAACTTTAAGTAATCAATATATTGATTAGGCTTATAAAAGAGAATTTGTTGCTTTCTCCTGTTGTATGTGTGTAACGATTATTTGCTATAGGCCATAAGTGCTAGCAAATAAGCCTACTGGGGTTTCGTCCAACTTTCCACGAAGCTTGTTCCAGATGTTTATGACAACCACCTTAAATTCCTCAAATATGAGGTCTTTTCTATCAAAGATAAAGACCTCTAGCCTATCTGACTAATCCATGTGTGGCTCATCAAATGAACTCCTTGACTTGTGCGAGCTCAATACTGGAGCATTATTTAAGTGCTCACCCTCTCCATTGTTACTTCCAGTCACCCTTTTATTTGATGACTCAACCTCTCTACTGACGGGTATCTCTACATTATCCTGTCAAGAAGTAAAAAGGGACAAATTAGATGCTACCGGTGATAATTAGGATGGGCGAAAGAAATAATGATTTACCCTTGCTGGGGATGATGAACGTCTATTCCTTTCTCGTTTCCAATGACGGTCTATATCACGACTTTCCTCGTCACTCGAGTCCAATAATACCACATCAGTTTTCCTTTTTGGAATGATGTTCTTTTTCCTTTTCTTGGATAATACCACATCAGTTCTTGGATGATGGTCCAACTTTTGGGACTGGACGTTTGCCTTTCTTAGTGGTACCGGTCTCCTGCTGCATATCGGTTGGATAGTCAAGAACTAAGTCTTTAATGTTGGCTCAAGGTAGTTCCCATGGACTTGGTTCCACCAATCCTTATAACTCTGTGAGAAATATTTATTCATTTTAATTCGAGTTGCAGGAAATGTCTCTTGTAACCCTGAGCCCCTAAGTGTAAATTGGCGCTAACGTTGAAAACCTTCTGCATGTGTGACTCTATGTTATTCCTCGCCCAACACGCTGAGGCTGCCAACCTAATAGTAGCCAAACTGTCGGCTAAATCGATGAGGAGTGTAAGGTTCTACAATACAGGAGTTTGCCCATTGTAATATGAGGTAGTTAGAACGAAGGCACATGAAGTTCTCATTATCAGGGTGGTTTTCATTCCCATCATCAAGGAAGTGGAAATCCTTGGTTAGAGGCGCGTCGTGCAAACCCATTGTGCACTATCAGCGTTGAAAATTTAGCGCCGAGCCTCTACTTGTCCATAATACCTTGCACCACCCTCCCTAGAGTAGGTGATCATCAGTGGAGAATTAGATGCATGGTTGTTTGCAATGTGAGTGTCGAAATAAAATGACAACCATCCATACACATAGTGGATGGAGAAACGACTATCAGCTAGTGTTGGTTTACGGAATTGTCACACCGCATTCAGTCCATTGTAAATTCTTGCAAGTACAGGGATCCCAAGGTTCAACGTTTTGCCTGTCGCCATCAAGCTAGTCATTTTGAAGTTTGGAACCAAATGAGTCGTGTTGCTTTGATAGGAAACACAAACACACATATCCAACAACTTAGATATGTCGTTAGGTGAGTCTCCTCTTCGTATTCGGGGGGAATTCTAAGTTCAGCATAAGGTGCTTTGGTTGTTTTGGTCCAACCCTTGAATTGTGGGATCTCGCTAGTTGGATTGTGGGTGTTCTTTGGACGTGTTTTCTTTTTCTCCTCTTTCTTTGGTGGTGGCCTATCATAAACTTGTGGCATTCTACTCCAAAGCTCTATCCAGTCGACGACATGAATTGAACGATCCTTATCTTTTGCCCACGATTACCACATTGTTGCCTATTTCGGTTTTAAAGGTAGTATTACACTTGGAACATGTATTTACAACATCGAGGGATGGACTTAGGGTCAAACATCTGTCCCTATTAATTCTGAGGCGTTTGGGACATATCCATCATAAATATTGCCAGATATTGGTAGACCACAAAGTACATGTATATCCCAAAGCAAGATTGAAAACTCGCCGACTGATGTAAGCAACGAATTGGTCATGGGGAACCACGCTTCGCAAAATGCTTGAACAGTATGCGTTGAGCAGTCATATGTGAATAAAGAGGCGTATATGACGTCATAGATCATTACGGCCTCCAAGAGGTCACGATGCATATTGAGTTTGACCTCAGTCCATTCCAAGTACCCATTGGTGAAACTAAACTCACCCTTAAAGCTAAGGTGTTGGTTCCATGAAGCCTCACCCTCAAGTATCCATCTCTCTAAAGTCGGGGGTGCGTCTAAATATTCCACATGACGTAGGCCGGTTTTGAGAACCCATGTCTTTGATGGCTAGGTTTCGGTGTCAATGGACCAATTTTCCACTCGATATGGCAGTGTTGTGGCAGAAAGGGTTCTTGGCGTCATCGGTGGGTAGATGATGAATGATGTTACTCTCTTTTTTTGGTATGTTCTTCGCTTGACACTATATCATCTACATCATTCATCATCTCCCCACCGATGACGCCAAAAACCCTTTCTGTCACGACACTGCCATATTGAGTACCATTGACACAGAAACCCAGCCATCAAAGACATGGGTTCTCAAAATCGGCATACGTCATGTGGAATATTTAGACGTACTCCCGACTTTAGGGAGATGATTACTTGAGGGTGAGGCTTCATGGAACCAACATCCTAGCTTTAAGGGTGAGTTTAGTTTCACCAAGGGGTACTGGAAATGAACTGAGGTCATACTCAGTATGCATCGTGACCTCTTAGAAGCCGTAATGATCTACGACGGCATATACACCTCTTTATTCACATATGACCGCTCAAGCATATTGTTCAAGCATTTTGTGAAGCGTGGTGCCCTATGACTAATTCATTGCTTACATCGGTCGGCGAGCTTTCAATCTCGCTTTGGGATATACATGTACTTTATGGTCTACCAAATCTGGCAACATTTATGATGAATATATGTCCCAAGCACCCCGGAATTAACAGGGACATATGTCGACCCTAAGTCCACCCCTTGTTGTTGTAAGTACATGTTCCAAGTGTACTGCTACCATTACAATCGAAATAGGAAATGCCAAGGATTGCCAAGTAACTCAAATAGACAACTACGGAACACAAGATAACACTCAAGACAACAAAGAACACGATGCTCACGGAAAACAAGGATAGGCTAGGAAAAAGATTACCTGCCAACTCTTCCTCCAACAAGCCCTCCGACTTAGCCTGCGAACGCGCCATCACGAAGACCCTCCCAGGTGGCCTAGGTCCAACTGCTCCACGAACCGAACCAACTCCCGATGCTCCTCCGGCTCCCGGGGGTGGCGGCAACGCTCTCTGACCGGCTAGTTGGGGACACTCCGCGACTTTGTGACCTCGATCTCCACATCGGAAACACCTGAGCACGTAGACATTGCAACCTTGACCCACATGCATCTTCCCACAACGCTGACAAGGAGATGCCTTGGCTTGGTTCCCGTGCTCCGTCCTGTTAGGTCCTTGAGATGAAGATGACACATTCTTGGTCTGGAAACTTGGTCGTGGCTTCTTAAAGGTAGAAGAACCTCTGCCTTCAGTCCTCTTCCTAGCT